TCTGCAGAGCAGCCCCCCAGCACCCAGGACCTGTACCTGCTAGAGACGGACTGGACTTCTGGGTCTGGTTAAAGATTCAGCCAGAAATGGGGCATGTGACATGTATGATCGAATTCACACACATGCTCACACAATGATACACACAAACATTTGATATATGTGAGCATATGTAGACATACAACATACATGTACAAGCATGTGTGGAGTATCAGCAGCATAGGACACATCCTGATGTCTAAGTTGGCACATGTACTGCAGGCACATACATATGTGTGTGAATAAACACATGTTCACCGCCTATGAGCAAATGCATAAAAATCCCTCCCATAAACATGGGTACTTGCAAATGAACACATACCCCACACGCAACATATATGTGCAGGTACGTGTGCAGGTACTATAGACTCCCTAACTCCCACGGCTTTCTTCTATACAGGCACACCCCACACATGTACATGCTAGCGTGATACCTGCACAGACATACCCTTAGATATGACAAGGGAAAAAGATGAACATTACAAATTTCCATGTGTGTCCGGCAGAGTGTTCCCTGGGATGGAGTTTAAAGGAGGGTTTGGTGGAGGGAAGCTGGAGCCATCCAGGGGACAGGGTCTCTTCCTGACCCCCCAGTGGCTTCGGGGTTCCAAGATGGGCCCCAGTGGCTCTGCTTCAGGCAGGCAGAACTGTGGGGCAGAGGGCAGGGCCCCATGTGTCCCTCTTCTGGGTCCCGGCTGGAGATGAGACTCCAAGACTTGCACACCCTGGGGCTTCTGCTCCTGCACAGCCTCCACTGTGGCTCCTACCTCCCTGCTTAGCACTCCCCTTGGCTCCTGAACCCAGCAACCTGGCAGGAAAAGATAAATATAAGCCCTGAGTCCCCACCCTTATGGATCTCACAACATGGCAACCGTCTCCAGGACAGAGGCTGGATTTCAGGATTTGGGAGGAGGAGCACGGGTGTGGTATGTGTGCCAGGGGGGCCCAGTCCTGGAGCGTACTTCTCCTTTGAGTCCTTGTTAGCTTGTTCCCTTTGGGTGCCTGCAGCCGTGGACCTGAGGAATGGCCCACGACTGCTTTCATGCACCTTCCCCGGGATGAAGCTGGATTGCCAGGTCCTTTAGTCCCCAGCAAGCTGAGGGCTGCATGGAGGGTGTGGCAGGGCCAATCAAGGCTGACAGATAATGGGTCTGGCCTGGCCCATGACCCTCCAACCTGAGCCCTTCCTGGCCGAGGGGCTTGGGGGGACCCCCAGTGAGGTCAGGCCCAGCAAAGGCTGAAGTGACCTTGGAGAAAGGCTCTGTGTAGTGCCTGTGAGCCCCCCAGGGCTCACCATCCCCTCTAATGCACCCTGTCTATGACCCATCTTAGTGAATGAACCCTCACACCCCCAGATACCCAAGGCAGCATTTGGGGACCATACTGGCCTCTCTTCCCTCCCTCTGTCCATGGTCCATCCATCCAGCAGGCCTGTTGGTCCCACTGGCTCTCCAGTGAGTTCCATTTACCCAGGCATTCAATCACCCGGTGTTTATTGAGCACTTTCTAAAGCCAGTTGCTCCTCCAGGTGTGGGGATGGATGAACGCCTGAGACGGACAGCTCCTGCTGAGGATGGGGTCTATCGCGTGCATGCAAGTATGTGTATGCACTGTGCCCATGCACGTGGACCTGGGCTGCAGAAGGTGGAGAGGTGGTACTAGGCAGGTGGGCAGAGGACTGCCGAGTCTGAGCCGTCCCACTTCTCATGTCCTTTCCCCACCCTGTAAGCCCGACACGTCTTCTAGGACCTGAGGAGTCTGAGGAGTAGGTGGGACCTTGAGGGCAGAGGTGGAGGCAGGTGGGTGTACAGAGAGGGGCTGGGCTGGAGGTGGAGAAGTGGGAGTCGTCAGCATGGGGGAGGGTGGGTATGCCACCCAGAAGGGGTCTGCCGGTGAGAGGGAGCAGGCCCAGCTCAGAGCCCTGGGCACCACCACAGTCAGGGGGTGAGTGAAAGGACACTCACTCAGGAAGGTCGCTAGGGAGGAAAAGGCACGGAGGTGGGAGGGGAGTCAGGAGAGGGAGAAGGAGGAGGAATGGTTCACAGGGGCTATTGCCAGAAGGCCAAAGGGGGTATTGGAGACCTCCGAGGAGCAATTCCAGGGAAATGGAGCCTCTAACCACCCTGGGGAGCAGGAAGGAGCTGCCCAGACTTGGCCGAATTTGACTGTTGCCCTGGGAGGTACGCTGGGGCTAGCATGCAGGAAAAAGAAGTTTCTCGAATGTGGGCCAGGGCCCTGGGTCCAGTCCTGTCTTGCCATGCCTTGCTGGCCTAGGGCCAGTCGCTGTTGCTCTCAGGGCCTCCGTTTCCCCATCTCAGGTCCCTGACTCGAACTTCATGGTTTTGGCCTGGCAAGGATTTGATTTTGTGAGGTGACTGGGAAGGGGACGGCTTGTCCCACATCCTGCTTCCAGCCTAGAACCAGAGTAGATCAAGGGACCAGCAGGCAGTGGAGGGGTCAGAACCAGGCAAAGGAGTGCTGGAAGGGCAGGCGCCAGAGCCCCCAGGCCTTGGTGGGAGGTCGGCGTCCTAGCCGGCTGACATCAAGGCTGGTGAATGTGGAGGGAGTTTAGCTTGGTTCATCAGCTCTCACCTCCCTCACAGCCTGGTACTGGGCAGGGCTGAGCTGGAGGAGCCGGAGGGGGCCCTTGAGGGGGCGGCTGAGAGGAGCCCCCAGGCCTGGGAGCCAAGCTGTAGCCTCACCCCACCTGGCATGGAGCCAGCCCTTGGTGGTGGTGGTGCTGGTCTTCAGTCTGCCCCCTCCCCACCTCCGCCTTCTCTCCCTGCCCCTCCGCCCCTCTTCCTCACGCTCTTGGTTCATCTCTCCTGCTCTCCTAGGCTCATCTCCAGCTACTGACTCAGTGGTCTGATGGCTGAGGGAGAGGAGCCAAGGGGCATAGTTTGATTCCTGCACTGCCTGCCTTCCCAGAACCCACAGTGAGCTCCATCTCTGCCCTCAACAAAGTCCCTACTTCAGCAGTGATGCAGCCCTGCCCTGCCCCCATGCAGCCCCTCCCAGATACTCTCATGGTGCGTCAGGAGAGATCAGATAACCCACTTGAGGTGGGGGAGTATGGATGGATCCTGGGCAGCCAGTCTCTACAGTCTACCACTTCTTCCTCCGTATTAGGGTTCCCCCCCCAGAGACCCCACCAGCCTTCCTTCTGGAGGACAGGGGAAAAGTCTAGACCCCTGCCCACACCCACCCCCCACCTATACTGCCAGTCCAGGCACATGCCCAGGTGCACATCAGCTGTGGGCCGGGAATCAAGCTGTCCGGTCCCTCTAAGACTTCCCCACATGGTCCTTCCCGGGGTCCTGCAAAAGAAAGGACTGGGCTTTTCAGGCTGAGACCAGGATCTTCAAACTCCAGGCTTCTGTGCTCAGACCTGTGAGGGCTCCGAGTGCTATCTGGGGCAGAAGCTGCAGCAGCAGCATCTCTCACAGTCTCTATCCAAGATTCTACTCACAGAAAGAACGCAGGCTCACCCTGTCCAGACGGCTACTTGGAACACACACTCACACACATGCACGCCTTTTGGCACTTGACTTTCTCATGAAATAATTGCTGGAAGGCTCCTTGGATTAGGTAACCCAGTGTTCCTTCCTGTCCCCATGGTGGAGGGGGGAAAGGGGGGGATCAGCGCTCCGCATCTGTTAGGCTGATCCAGCTCCTTTGGGGGCAGTGCAGGCCAGTCCAGGTCTGTGGCTCCAAACATCTTTGGAAGCCTAATGTGACAGGATCAGCCGTTCAGATCTGTCGTTCCGCAATCATTTGGCTGTGCCTGCCAGGCCACCCAGCCTCCTTCAGGTGGGCCAGGCCTGGGGAGGAGAAGGTAGATCAGGAAAGATTTTTTGCACAAAAGATGCGATGTTCCCATTTTTTATTTTAAATCAGTTTTACAATATACACGGAAACTTACAATATCTTTGCTCATCATCCTATCATCCTGAAGCAACAACTGTTTCCATTATTTCGTTTCTTGTGACGGTTGGGGGGGTGGGTTTAGAAGGGAGGAATATTGGGGTTCAGGCACGAAAGGAGCGTTGAGAGGGAATAGAGGTGGGAACCCTGGACTGTAGATAGAGGCCAGTGACTGAGACTCTGATGGGGGGAGGAGGAAGATTAGTTCGAAAGTCACCCATCCTAGGATTTGGAGATTCGGCCCTCAGCACATCCTTTCCTCTCCGTCTGACCTCGGCCTCTCCTGGATTCCTTAACAGGGGCTCGTTGGTGAGCCTGGAGCCCCTACTGACCACTGGCAGCAAGGACACAAAGATCTTGCTACACAGAGTGGGGCTGGGAGGGGAGAGCGCATAACTGCAGAGACAGGGAGGGCACCTCACCACCTGTCTCCTTCTCGCTTAGCTCTTATATAACAGGTGCAAGAAATTCCAGACAAAGATCCCACAGGTGAGTATGTGCTTGTGAGAGCGTGCCCTCGGGTAGAGAGGGCAGTGAGGGGCACAGGGTCGGGGTGGCAGTTCTGGGGATTGCTGCTGCAGCTGCTGCTCTCACTTCTCCAGGAGTACAGGGGAGTCCCCATCCCCAGCAGGACCAGGCCCTCGAGTGAGAGCCCCGAGGGAATGCATAACCCGCGTCCGTGGTCTCCAGAGTAAAGTCCACTTGGGGGCCGAGGCCTTCTTCCGGTGGGCCCGCAGCTCCTCCCCCAGGCGGCACGCGGCTCCTCCGGGGTCGCGTGGAGGAGGCGCTCGGCCTAGGCACTTCCCCCCGGCTCCGCACCCCAGCAGAACAGAGGCGGGGCGACTTCTCTTTCAGCGCCACCGAGAGTCCCCACCCCGCACCACCCCTCGGGGTTCCAGGGGCACGGGTGTCCCCGAGCGAGCCCCGGCCCCGCCCCCGAGGCCCCGCCCCCGCGTGGCACCCAGTCCCCAGGCTAGCGGGGCCCGCCCCGCCCTCCGCCCGCCCCTCCCACAGCCCCTCGGGCGAACCCAGCCCGGGCTGCCAGTCGCGGCCCGGAGCTGCGGAGCTCAGCGTCTCTCCTTGCTAGGCCTGCTCTCAGACCGGCGCGCCCTTGCTCGGCCATGGAGCCGACCCCCGACGCCGAGGAGGCGCGCACGGTGCGCGAGGCGCTGGGCCGCTACGAGGCAGCGCTGGAGGGCGCGGTGCGCGCGCTGCACGAGGACATGCAGGGGCTGCAGCGCGGCGTGGAGCGGCGTGTGTCCGAGGCGCTGCGCCTGGCCGGTCCGCTGGCGCGCACCGTGGCCGACCTGCAGCGCGACAACCAGCGGCTGCAGGCGCAGCTCGAGCGCTTAACGAGCCAGGTGGAGGCACTGGGCTTGGCGACCGGGGTGTCCCCCGCTTCCGGCACGCCTGGCACGCCCAGCCCTCCGCCCGCGCCCGGCGTCCGGGACCGCGCGCCCCGCCTGGGCACTGCACGCTTCGCCAGCCACGCCACCTTCTCGCTGTCCGGCCGCGGCCAGGTGAGCCTCGGGGAGCGCGGCGCGCGGACGCGGGTGTCTGTGCGTGTGCGTGTGCGCGGGGGAGTGGAGCTCCGCGCCCCGGTGCCGCCCCTCTGCCCCGAGTGCATGCACCCGCGCGCGTCTGCTGGGCTTGGGGGCTGTGCCGCCACCGGCCGGCAGGACTCAGTCGTGGGGGTCCGGCCGTCGCTCCGGAGTGTGAGAGGGCGGCAGAAGCCGGTCTTAGCCTGCCCGCGGCACCTGTCTGGGGCCCCCTCCCTTCTTTGGAGCCGGGCCCAATGTTTGCCCCGAGTTCTGTCTCCCTCTCCCCTCTGTCCCATGACACTAAGGGCTTGGGCCCCGAGGTGTGGCTCCTGACCGTTCAGCACCGCCTGGGGCCTCGCCGGCGTGTCGGAATGGTCAGCAACCCCTACTCCCCCGCCTCCATTCACGCGCCCCCCGCGTTGCCGCTCACTGAGGCCTGACGGCTCGGTTATTGATTAACCCAGAGTGAGAACTGTGGGGCGGGCGGGAGGACGCAGTCTGTTCAGGCGGCAGCACCGCAGCGGCGTTTGGGAACTCGTAGGGGGTAAATCCCTTACCGTGAAGGGAGAGACAGGGAAACCAGCTTTGAGCAGTTTCTAGATTCCCGAGGTCACTGACGGGCCAGAGGCCCACACCGCGTGGGGCGGAGGCCGGTGTGGACCAGTCAGTACCCCGAGCACGGGGCCTCCTGGAGTGGCAGGTTAGAATGTTTCCATGGTGTGCGCAGTGGCCCTTAGGTGGGATTTTCCACCCAGCTCAGGAGTGTGCTCTGGGGTTGGGTTTCTAGGGTCTGGGTCTGCGTAGTCTGCACTTGCTGCCCCTCCCGGGTTCAATCCATCATGCATTCAGATAATCCGTGTGGGCTGGGCTGCACCTCAGGGGGCCAGGAGGAGGGGGATCAGATTAGCTCTTGTCCTCGGAGGTCCCGGCTGGATGTGACACGGCCCCAGATAGAGCAGTCCCAACATTGCGGGCAGGCAGAGCAGATGTTCTGCTCTAGACAGGACAGTCTCTTCCCGGTGGTGAGTGTCCCAGGAAGGCTTTGTGCTGGAGATCCAGGACTCGCTGCTGCTGGCACAGATGGGGGTAGAGTGCGGGCTGTGCATGCAGCCTCAGAAAGGGCTCACTGGCCAGAGGGGAGCCTGATGGGTATGAGAGTGGAGGGGCCAGTTGTAAAGGCCCTCTGGAAGCTGCGCAGGGGAGTCAGGCTTTGTCTCATGGGGTGAGAGGTTCTTAAGCGTGTGCTGTGGCAGAGCCTGTGGGTGTCCCAGTGCTCCGTGTGAAGTGTCTGGAAATAGGGATACACTTAATTCTGTCCTATGAGCATGACACACTACATGTCCATGGTATAAAAGCCCCACTGAGCTCACAGGTGCCTGATAAACTGTGTCATCAGCTGTTTCTGAGCTTTTAACACCGGTTTGCTACTTGTCTGCTCATGGAAGCAGCTGCCTAAAGTTTTAAGAAAAATAATCTCAGAGTCGTATGTTTATATGAATGTATGTACATGTACATACGTGAGAGGATTCACTCCAGTCGTGTAACTTTTTTCAGTGGGAATTGGCCATTAGTCATGTGAGGTGAGCTAGTTGTCTTGGTTATGGGGGTGGTGGGTGAGGGGTGCTGGGCAGAGGCGGGACCGGGTCCATCCCTCAAGGATGGGTGGCTGGTTGGAGGGTGGGTACCCTGGAGTCAGGGTAGCGTAATTGTGATGGTCCAAGGAGGGAGGATGGTCTGAGCTGGGGCAGGGATGGGTGGATGGAGAGCTGGGGCTGCCTTGGTGAGAGGTCTCGGAGCGGGAATCAGCAGGGTGAGAGAATCTTTGGATGTGAGCAGGGAAGCAGAGAGAGGAGCCCTGCCTAGGGGACTACTGGATTCCCTTTGGGTCATGCTGAGCTTGCTGGAGGTGGAGTCCTGGATGTGGTGTGCCTAGAGTGGTCAAGGCCAGGGGTCAGGGAGCTCTCAGGGCAGAGCTGGCGGCTGAAGCCCTAGAGTGGGCGAGGTCTTCAGAGCAGTTGTGCAGAAGGAGAGGGTGAGGCAGGAGCCCTGCTTGGAGGCGGAGGAGCTGCCAGGGAACTGGGAGGCGCTGGAGAGCACTCTTAGAAATCGGGAGGGGGAGTCCTGGAAGAAGAGTTTGGGGCTCAGCAGGAATGCTGCAGCCAGCTGGGGGATGAGGATAGAAAGATGGTTGGGGAGTAGGCTGTGGACTTCAGAAAGGCCTGAGGTGAGGTGGAATGGCGGGCATAGCTGAGCACCGTGGTGGAGGATGGGCAAGGTCTCCAGTGGGGCCAGAGGCCCCACAGCCCTGAGCACCAGCTCCCTGGGCCTGAGGCCACTTCTGTCTGCTTGACTCCAGAAGCACCGGTCCCCACTTTCCTTGCAGTCGCCGTCTCAGGAGCACCCACAGGCTCCTAGCCCGTTCCTGGCAGTGAGGGGCACTGTGTGCGGCGCCGCACGTTCTCACTCGTGCGCTGTGACCAGCAACGTGTGATCGGGCGCTGGGTCCCGAACAGGGAATCAGGGCTCTGGGGCAAGACTGGACCGAGTCACAGCTAGGCGCCAGCGCTGCTGGTCCTCCGGCCTGTCTTACTCCCCTGTCTGCGTCACAGGGGGTCTGGGTGTGCGAGTCTCATCCACGCACATGAGCTGGCGGTGGCTGCGGCCAGGCTTTGTGGAGGCTAGTGTTACACTGCCCCTCTGTAACAAGCATGAGGTTTACAGACCCCTTTTTGAGACACTTTGCTTCCTGCTGTTTGAAACTGGGGACTGCAGGGGTTGGAGGTGGCTCATACTCAGCGTATAAATGGGCCCTGAACTCAGTGGAGAAAGCATTGATCAAGTCATCCACTTCTGAGTGCACAAACCTCGACCTTGCTAGGTAGTAAGTAGCCAGGGAGACTCTAGGAGGAGGGAGAGGGCAGGGCAGTGGGGTAGAAGTAATCAGGGAGGACTCCCTGTAGGAGGCCAGAGACCCTGGAGCAGACAGGAGCTGCTTTTGGCACATTTGCTGTGAGGCCTTGGGGACATCTCCTCCCAGCTGGGCCTCAGTTCTCTTGTATCTAAACCAAGGGGCGTTGGTCCAGCCCTGTTGGGCCCCTCGTGCTGAGCAGGGGGGAGGTTATAACAGTGACATGGGCCCTATTGGTCACAAGTGTCCACAGAGCTGCAGCTGTGGTCTAGCGGGCCGAGGGAGCCGGCTGGGGGCCTGTGGAGGATGGCAGCAGCCTGAGGCCAGGCCTGGCTCCGGGGGCTGGGCCAGAGTTGTTCCCTGGAAGTGTCCTTGGCTGAGCTGGAGCCACCAGGTCCACATGGCCCAGGCAGTGGAGTCCCTCAGGAACAACTGCCAGGAGCACGGTGTCACGGCCCCACCATGAGAGAAACCAGAGCCGCCTTATCTGCCTTCCTTTCCCAGACACACTGTGTGATAAGAGAGTTAAATGCTTGGGGGAGAAATTTGAATCGAGCCTTTAAAACCATGGTGTGAGGGTGTGAGCGAGGAGGAGGGCGGGGCAGCTGCGGCTCCGGGTGGGGTTCTGGCCGCATGTAGGCTGTGCTGGGCATGTGGGTGGGTGTCCACGCAGGGGCCCTCGTGGGGTCAGGCAGCACTGCGAATGCCTGAAATATTCCTTCTCTCACCAGGGGTTTAAAAACCTCCCCGGTGAGAGGGTCCCTGAAATCAGACTCATCTCATCCCCTGCCTCACCCCCTGTTCCCAGGCCTGGGCTTCCTCACTGGGAGCCTCCCCCTTCTTAAAACACAGCCCAGGTGGGGATCTTGGGGATGCTTGAGCCGGCTCAACAGGACCAGCACTGGTCCCCAAGGCTCTCAGTGATTTCTACCCTAGCCCAGCACAGGGAAGCAGGCTGCCCCCTCCAAGGAAGACCACTGGGAGAGGGTGCCGGCCCCCTGGGTGGCTTGGGGACCAGGAGGAGTGCTTGCTCCAGCCTGGCTTCTTGGTTTAGGGGCTCAGGCCCCACTGGGGTGGGTACCCCACTCGCCTTTTCCTCCCCCTCGCCTGGCTGAGACCGTGGGGGCCAGGGCTTGCCCCACTCCAGGTCCTAGGAGACAGGTTTGTCTTGAGTTGACCTTTCTGCCCTCTGGAAGGCCAGAGCGCTTTGTGGACAGAGCGCTGGATTGGGTAGGAGACCTCAGTCCCAGACCTTGACTCTGCTGCTGCCTTTAGTCTCCGTGTGAGGTTAGGGCTGACCCCCACCCCTGGCTTGTGTGATGATGGGTTGGAGGGTGGTCTCCAAATAGCCCTTTGCCCCTTGGCCTGAGGTGTGGGCAGAGCCCTTTTCTTGTGTAAGGAGTGGGTCCAGTCTTGGGGAAGAGGGGGAGAGGGGCAGGGGGACCTGGGAGCCTGGGCTCAGCCCCCACCCCAGCTGCAGTCCTGCCTCCCAGCATGTGGTAGCTCCATCCCCTTTCCCTCTTTGCTTAACTGGAGACCCCTTGGCAGGAATCCAGCTGCTCCAGAACCTACTTTTGGTCTGGTTGTGGTGTCTGGTCCCCTGGGGCATTATGGGGGGTGTTGGCCTGCAATGTGCAGGGACAGGTGTCTGTGGGGGCCCCCCTATAGAGACCCACATTCCTTGGAAAATGGTTTCTCCATCAGCCTGTCCCTCCAGGCCCCTGTCTGGACCTGTGGAACTTGTTGGACCAGAGTAGGGTGGATGGGGAAACGTGGAGACCCCAGAGCTGAGCCGGCCCTGGTGATGGGGTGGGGGTAGGGGTGGGGCTCAGGATGGACTGGCTGTTTCTCTTCCCCCTGCTGAGTTGGCCTCAAGTTAGCCACAGTGTGGCTCTAGGTGTGCCCTCCCCACCCTGGGGTGCCAGGAGATGCCCCCTACCCTTCTCCATTGTTCCTGCAAGTGGGCGTGGCCCCTCCCCATCCATCCTCCTGAATCAGAAGTTGAGGGGTCCACCTTCTCTCCAAGGCCAGGCTCTGAGTTGTGTCCTCTCCCACTTCCCTAGGGACCCCCCTCTCCCCACAACCCCGCAGAGGGTCCCCTAAACCTGCTGGAGCCTCTCTCAGCCTGTAAATGTCCTACCTGTTCCATCTGGAAGAACCCCTCAAACCCCTTTCCCCCCTCCCCTCATGGCTATTGTGTCCTCTCCACTGCGCCCCTGCTTCTCGCCCAGGCCATGTCCTGCCCCCACCCCCGCCTCGATTCAGTTCCTGAACCGTCAGTCACCAGTGACCTCTTTGGCTAAATCCAGTGGACGTGTTTTAGCTCTCATTTTAACCATCTGTTCCTTGATCTGAGGCCACCTTTGGACGCCACTGACAGGCCTGCCTTCTTTTTTTTTTTTTTTTAATTGATGTTTTAACAGTTTTTAACATTGTGAAATTTTGGGTTGTACATTTTTGTTTGTCCATCACCATATATATGTCTCCCTTCACCTCTTGTGCCCACCCCCCACCCCCATTGCCCCTGGTAACCACAATACAGTTTTCTCTGTCTATGTGTTGGTTTATATTCCACATATGAGTGAGATCATACAGTGTTTGTCTTTCTCTTTCTGGCTTATTTCACTTAACATAATACGCTCCAGGCCCATCCATGTTGTTGCAAATGGGACGATTTTATCTTTTTTTATGGCTGAGTAGTATTCCATTGTATATATATACCACATTTTCTTAATCCAATCGTCTGTCGAGGGACACTTAGGTTGCTTCCACTTCTTGGCTGTGGTGAATAATGCTGCAATGAACACAGGGGTACATAAGCCTCTTTGGATTGTTGATTTCAGGTTCGTTGGATAGATTCCCAGTAGTGGGATGGCTGGGTCATAGGGCATCTCTATTTTTAATTCTTTGAGGACTCTCCATACCGTTTTCCATAGAGGCTGCACCAGTTTGCATTCCCACCAGCTGTGTATGAGGCTTCCTGTTTCTCCACATCCTCTCCAACACTTGTTGTTTTTTGTCTTGGTGATTATAGCCATTCTAATGGGCTGGTGATTATAGCCATTCTAATGGGCGTGAGGTGGTGTCTTAGTGTTGTTTTGATTTGCATTTCCCTGATGATTGGTGATGTTGAGCATCTTTTCATGTGCCTATTGCAGGCCTGCCTTCTTGCTACACTTCCACCTGCCTTTCTCAACATTCTTCTGGTTTTCTTCCTAACCCCCTGGCTGCTCCTTCTCATTCTCCTCTGCAGACGCCTCTTCTGCCCCTTAAATCCCAGGCCCCGACAGCCCCGAGCCAACTCTTCCTCTGCTGTGCTTTGGATGCGAGACTCCTGTTTCTCCATCGTTCGTCCATCCTTCCTCTTAAACCTCAGACTCAAATATCCAGCTACCTCCTGACCTCAACGCTCTGATGCCTCAGGGGCACCTTACACTCAGCTTGTTTTCCCACCGACGCTGCCGCCTCCCTTCCTAGTCACGTCAGTCACTCAGGCCCGAAGCCCAGGCTTGGAAGAGACGTGGCGTCCTCCCCTCTCTCCACATCCACTCACTCTCCCCAAAACTCTGAGTCCTTCCTGCCCTTCACCTTTCTGCTGCCCCAGCTCCCTCCCCGTGTCTCCCCCTGGGACTAGTGAGGTTCTGGCCATCTAGTCTCCTCCTTCCGTGCCACTGTGTCACTGGCTTCTGAAGGATGTTCCTCAAACAACAGAGCTGATGACCTTCAGCTCCTTCTTGTCCAAGGAGTTGAATTCTCTGGGCTGGCACCTCGGGCTGTGTGCTGCTTCTCCAGCCACCAGATCAGAATGCTTTGTGCCTTGATGTCTGTCTGCTTTTGCAGACTAGCTGCTCTGCTGGGAATGGCCTCCCCTCCTTGTCCACCTGGCTTACTCTAGACTTGGCTCAGGTACCCCTAACTCTGGGAAGCCCTCCCTGGCCCACTGGGCTGGATGAAGTCTGTCTTGGGCATGCACTCACATGCTGGCTTGGCAGAGTCTGCTTGTGGTCCTGGCTCCCCCACCAGACTGATTCCCCCATGGCAGGGTGTCTACCTCTTGTCCTGGTTGCAGGAGTAGCTGAGCTGTCTGGGGCCAGAAATGGGCTTTTGTCATCTGGGAACCTTGTAGACAAGGGGGCCAGCCTGGAGGCATCTAGGGAGAGGTATGGCCAACCTGTCAAGACACCCATCATGGGCTCTTAGTAGAGCCTCAGGTAGGGGTCAGCCTCGATCCCCTTCTTGCCAGACAGACCCCACCAGCCTTATAGACACTCTGAGCCCTCCATGCCTCCCTCACTGTGAGAAGGGCAGGACCACAGTTGAGGAAAACGTTCCTCCTGGCCACACATCTCAGCTGTTTCTCGTTGTGTAACCTTGGACAGCGCCCATCCCCACTCTGAGCCCTCAGGTCCCATCTGTAAAATGGGGCTGGTAGCACCTACCTGGAAGGACAGAAGCAAGTTGGTATAGTGGCATGTCCAGAAAAAGGGCCTGCCAGTTGGTAGATGCTCAAATGGCACTCAACAGGGACACAGACCCAGAGGAGGCGTGACCTGACCCAGGTCATGCAGTGGTTGGCAGCATAGCAAGGATGCCAGGTTCCCCTGATGGCTCCTGGTCTGGGCTCTCTCTCTGTACCGCCTCCCCCACTGCTGTAGCCCAGAGGGGATGGAGGGGCTGCATGGAGCCAGTAAGGCCCTTGTACTCTGGATATGCAGGCAAATCTTGTGACCCTGCATCCAGTGAAAAGTCCTCAGCATGAGGGCTCCAGTGCCCATCATTGGCCCAGAAGGTCCTAATGTCTCTGAGTTTCAGCTGCTCCCACACAGGCAGCCACACCACCCTGCCCAGCTGGGATGAGCGGGGGCCAGGCTTTCCTATCTGGGTCATCTGGTCCAGCCTGGGGGAAGGGTTGGGGCCCACCTGCACACTCCTTCGGAACCCTCAGTCTTGACCTTTGTCCCTAGCATTTTTGGGTTCTGAGATGAGTCCAGTGGAGGTGTTTGCCTCGCAGGATCCCAGGGGCTCAACAGCTGGGGCTGGTCCACCCCAGTTTGCTATGTGACCTTGGCCCACCATGGTACTTCCCATGGGCTGTCTGTTTCAAACATGAGTGTTGTTTGCTCTGCCAGAACCAGGAGGGGCTTTGGAGAGCCATTTTGGGGGTGGGCAGCTGGTCCTAGCTGAGGCCTCCATGGTGTTCGTATCTCCGTAGAGTGTGGATCATCCTGACGAAGCCAGCGAATCAGAGATGAGAAGGACTTCAAACTCGTGCATCGTCGAGAACGGGCACCAGCCGGGGGCAGGTAGGGGCCAACGACAGAGGACAGGTGGCTGGGTAGGTTTGGCGGTCAGGGCCTCGACCATGCATCTGTGCCAGGCCGTCCCTTGCCTGGGATGGGGGACTCGAGCCTGAACCCTAATGGGTGGAGAGGCTGCCAGGGGAGCAGCCTCACTCGGTGTGAAGTAGAACTTTTTAAACACAGAGGGAAATGGGAGATCTCGAAAGGTGGTAAGCTTCTCTGTTTCTGGAGGAATGCAAGCAGGGGCTGAGGAGTTGTTCAAGCACTGCACAGGGTAGACAGTGGACTGACAAGCCAACTAGGATTTATTGAGCCGGCTGTGAGGGGAAGTTGGAGCAGATGTCCCCAGTAGGGAGAATCAGGGAAGCTGGAGTCCTCCTGGGGGGTCTGAGGCCCCTGTGGATGCCATGGCTGACCGCGCCCCCACCTCTGCTGGTCATATGTTCCAGGTCCAGGCGATGGACCCCCTGAGGCTGCCCAATCCTTCCTGGCACCAGAGCCCCCCAAGCCTCGCCCCGTGAGCCTCTCCTTGCGGCTGCCTCACCAGCCAGTCACGGCCGTCACACGAGTCTCCGAGCGGTTCTCTGGGGAGACCTCAGCCGCAGCCCTCTCGCCCACGTCTGCTGCTGTTCTGGGGGGCCTCAGCTCGAGCCCCAGCGAGGCCACCACACCCTGGACTCCCAGTCTGAGTGGTAGGAGCAGGAGAGCAGCCTGGGGGGAGAGCATGGCCTGGCGGCAGACCCCACCTCAAGGGGGGAGGGTGGGCGGGGGCTGGGAGGGGTTGGTAAGAGACTCAGAAAACCTGGGGCCAAGCCCCAGCCCCCCTCTACCTGTCACTGCAACCCCCTTCCCTAGCCCGTATGCTCCCTCAAATGGGGCCCGTCCTTGCCTGACTCCTCCCAGAGAAGCTGTGAAATAGCATCACCCCCGGGGAAGACGACCAAGGCTTTCAGTACAAGTCGAGACTGTGGTTAGAAGGGGGCATCTTACCCCACACACTTTGGCATGGTACCCTCAGACCTGTCGTGGTTCTGTGGTCAGGCCTCAGTGATGTGTCCTGGGTGGGGCTGTATGGGCTTCCAGAATGAGGGTTTGGGAACAGAGTGTTTGCTGGATATGCAGCACAGGAGGCCCGGGGCCCTGTGCTCCCAAAAGCAGGTGGGGACACTTTAAGAGACCTCTTTTATATCATTGCTCTATGTTCCCAATCTCCTTTCTCCTCAACTGTTGGCTGAGGGGGTGGGCAGCTTAGCCCAAGGGTCCTCCCTGTCCAGGGAGCGATGGCAGGTCAGAGGAAGGGAGGTGGGCAGTGGCTGGCCCTCTCTGAGGGCAGGGTTTGTTATTTCTCTCCCCTACTTTGTCCCACAGAGAAGAATTCTCTGCCACGGTCTTTGTTGAGCTCTGGCTATGGGGCAGTGACGGCAGGCAGGAGCAACGACAGGTGAGTCAGGGCCCCTGTTGGGTGGGGTTGTCACTCCCCAAGCAGCTTCTGGGCTTTGCCTTGGCCCCGGGCTGCCCAGGACCCTGCAGGGAGCTCCCTGTGCTGACCCCAGGAGGAGACACCCTCCTTGGCTTGCGGCCTCTGGAGAACTAAGGCAGCAGGGTTGCTGGGTGGGGTTTGGGTGGGAGAAACGAGGCAGTGGGGCCTGGTGGAGAGTTTTGTTTAGAGAAATATGGCTGCAGACTGGTTTCTCTATGGACCCTTCAAAGCAAGTCTGTCCAAAGATTGGAGGGGGTGTCCCAGTCCCCAGAGGAGGAAGGAGGGTGGGAGGACCTCCCATTTTCCTCTTCTTCCATCCTGGCTGGGGTCCCTCGGAGCTGGGTGCTTCCTGCCCGTGGACTGAGGGGGCACCTGGAGAGACCTGGGCTGGGGCAGGTCTGCAGGGGCTTCCCTGAGGTACAGGCTGCCTCCTGGCCTGCTGTTGTCCCCATGCTCCCCCAGGCCAGCTGGACTGTGATTGGAGCTAGGGGTGGGCGTAGGGGGCTGGCTTGGCTTTTTTTCCCTTTTAATAATAAAAGGGGAATTGTGACTTTCTGGCAAACTGTTCCAGGGAGAAAACAAAGGGGGTCTTATTTAGTGGTGGTGAGGAGGGGGCCTGGTCCTGGTGGGGCTGCTTCTGAGGATACCTCCTGCCCAAAGTGGATGCCCCTGCCCACCCCAGGCATTGGCACCTGCCAAGGGGTCACTATGCCCAGAGAGGGGGCCCACTGCTGGCCAGGCCTGCTTCAGACAGCAGCTTAGTTCAGAAAACCTGCCGAACTGGTTGGGACTGGAACAGGTGGTGCTTCCTTTCTGCCTGTAGCCCTATTGCTGCCTCATTTCACACTCAGTGGGGTGGGGGACCCTGGGGCCTGTGTGAGCTAGCGATGGCAGGATCTGTGTTCCTGACTCAGTGGTTCTGTCCTCAGCCCGCCTCTGGTGACGCCACCCCAGTCGCCCCCATCCCCGCAGCCGCCAGCCACGACTCAGGCCCCTCGCCAGGGGGAGCGTCGCCGGGAGCTGGTGAGGTCGCAGACGCTGCCCCGCACCTCAGGGGCACAGGCCCGGAAGGCCTTGTTTGAAAAATGGGAGCAGGACACAGCTGGCAAGTACGGACCTCGCCCCCCAGATCAGGCCGGCCCCACAGAGTAGGCTCAGACCCAGACTGGGGTCAGGTGGGCACAGCTCAGCAAAACTGGCGCTGTTCTATTCTCCAGGGGGCAGTTCCCCAAGATGTGACCTCTCGGGTAAGACACAGGTCAGGGTTGGGCTACAGAGTGGGCTGCGGGGACAGGGAGCCAGGCAAGGCCTGATGAGAGCCCCTGCCTCCATTCCCGGGCCACCTTCACACCTGCGTTCCTCATGGGCGGTAGCTTCTTTGGTTTTTGGCCCTGACCGGGGAGACCGGATGGGCAGGAGCTGGGAGGTGACACAGCCTGACCCGAGTGCCCACTGGCCCCCTATCATGCATCAAACCCCCCGTTGGAGATGGGACCTCTATCCAGCCCTCCTGTCAGTGCATGGTAGTGACGCCTGTTGTGTGTGGCCCAGGCCTGTGTGATGATGAAGACAACCCTAGTCCTGGCTCCTGAGGCTCTGACTCTGATGAGGGAGGCAGACCCAGGAAGTGTCCCCACTGACCTAGACAACCCAGTCTCAACTGTTAGGAACTATCCTGGGGCCCAGGGGAGGAGACCATCCCTTCCAGCCAGGAAAGACCATGAGGGAGGATGGCCTCAGAGAGGGGCTCAGAGGAGGGTGGGATGAGGCGAAGGTGGAAGGGTGTTCCAAGCAGAGGGCAGGGCCACAAGGCCATTCGGGCTCAGGTCCTCTGTCCCAGGAGTGCCAATGACCCCTGATTCCTAGTGTGGGAAGTAAACAGGGGACCCAAGGCTGCAAAGGGGGTTTGGTCCTGCCAGATACCGTCAAGGGAGGCTGTGTAGCTGGTCTGGGGGCCTCATGCCTGGACGTGGGTGTGGGGCGAGGGAGGCTGCGTGCTGACAGAGCGTCTCCCCCTGGTGAGCAGAGCTGGTAGGGGCATCTTCCCAGTGGTAGGAATGGCCGGGGACTCCCCTGCTTCTGGGAGGAGATGGCAGCTGAGGGGCGGCCCCCACAGCTCCCACGGCAGTCTGCGTCTCTCCGCAGGGGGAAAGGCGAGACCCGGGCAAAGCTGAAGCGGTCGCAGAGCTTCGGCGTGGCCAGCGCCAGCAGCATCAAGCAGCTGCTGCTCGAGTGGTGCCGCAACAAGACTCTGGGCTACCAGGTGAGCCGGTCCTGCCCGGCCACGGGACCCTGGGCACTGCCCCCGTTCTTGTTCCCCTGGCCAGGGCAGGAACCCCAGGCTGGGCGGAGGGGTGGGAACGAGTGAAATTGTGCCTCCCAGTTGGTTCCCAGCTGCACACAGCGAGTGCTTAGAAACCCCATGTCTGGGCCTGAGCAGACTGGTCTAGTGCACCTGCTGGGGTGAGGTCTGGCTACTAAGGCTTGTTGCTGAGCTGGGTGGGTGGTGGCCTTGGGAGGGGCTGGGAGAATCTGCTGGTGTGGTTGAATTGGTGGGGGTAGCTGAGGCAGGAGCCATGCTCCACTCTCACCTCTGTGCATTGACCTCGCCTTGCTGGCAGCACGTGGACCTGCAGAACTTCTCCTCCAGCTGGAGCGACGGGATGGCCTTCTGTGCCCTGGTGCACTCTTTCTTCCCTGATGCCTTTGACTACAGTGCCCTGAGCCCCACGCAGCGGCAGAAGAACTTTGAGCTGGCCTTCACCATGGCTGAGTGAGTATAGCGGGTTTCGCTGGCTACCAGCCCTGGCCCAGTCCCTGAGCCCAACCTCTGCCCCACTGGAGCACGGGGTGCGGGCTGTGGGGGGCAGGATATGGGGCAGCTATCCGTAGAGCAGAGGACCCTGAGGCCATCCAGTCTGTGGGCCTCGGGTACAGATGGGGAGACTGAGGCCTGGAGCCGGGGGATTTCCCCAGGTCGCTCAGCACTTGGTGGTGGAGTGGGGCTCTCTTCCTGGTGTAGCTGCCCTCTTTGTGGGGTGCCCAGCCTCTGTTGTGTGGTCTGGGAGACTAGCCACAGACAGGGCGTGAGGACAGTGGGGTAGGGCCCCCAGAGCCCTGGGTCTGTCCTCTCTGGGCTTGTGGAGAGCTGCAGTGGCTTGAGTGAGCTACAGCTGCTGATGAGCAGAAAATGGAATAGTATCTGCCTGGGGGACATGTCAGAAACTTCCCCAATAAGTAGGTTTTGCTTCCCTAAACATTGTTCTAGTGGTTGATATGAAATTGCCTACCTTCTTAAGACCCGCTCATAGGGAAAAGATTGGGTGGGGGCGACTCTGGGATCTGGAGGCACTTGGGAAGCCAGTTTGGGATTTGGTTATTGGCTGAGGGCAACCCCCAGGCATCAGGAGAGTGGCAAAGTGGTTCTGGTGGGTATCAGTCAGGGTTCTGGTGGGGGCACATTCAGACTGAGCAGGTGAGGAGAGGTTAATAAAGAGACTCCTTGCAAAGGTGTGGGGGAATGGAGCCAGGCATGGCGCAGTACCCTCGGGCTGATCAGCCTGAGGTTCCGGGAACTGGGGAGCGTACTGTGTGGAGAGGGCTGGCTGCTGGCAGCTGTGCTTTTGGGCAGTGGATGCGACCAGCTCACAGTGATCTGGCAGAGAGGGAGTGGGGAATAAATACTCTGCCCTCGCCCTCTTCCTGCCTTCATGCCACGGTCTCCTGTTGGCTGAACAGGATCAGAAGGCAGAGGGCAGGGAGCCATCACTGTGGTCCATCAAGACCCCCAGGACAGGCATGGGGCACAGATGAGGGTGTTCAGGGCTGCCTGAGGCTAAGCTTCTGGGAATTAAGGGGAAGAAGGTTGGAGGGAAGGAAAGCCTCCCCAAGGCTGGGTTTCCTGGAGGGAACATTGACCATTCTCTCCTGCCCGCCCGCCATTGTGCCTGGGGCTGTAAGCCTCTGTGATCCATCTGTGCCTGACCTCCTTTGTTTCCTGTCTGTGTCCCCAGTGCCCATGTCCAGGAGGAGCCCTCACCCCAGGCCTTGCCTGCCCTCCTCATTCCATTCCTGCCCAGCCTCCCAGCCCCCCAAACCCGGCCCTGAGCCTGGCCTGGGAAGGAGTCAGAGCTAACCAGTTATGAGACCCACACTTGGTATTGTGGTCTCGCCTTGAGTCGGGGCAGCCGCCCTCCCTAGAGCAGCAGCTCTTGCTCTGGGGGTGGAACGGAGACTCTGGCTTCGAGCTCCTTGGCCCAAGTTGTTGGAATATCAGTATTGGCCCCTGTTGTGTTGTCGGATGACGCGCTTGGACCCTCGGCCTCCTTGGGGTCATAAGAACTCCTTGTATACTTTAAAAGCCTTCTCTTTCTTGGCTGCTTGGGATTAGCTGTCATCCTAATTGCAGAAACAGCTTTGGACGGAGCGTGTTATGCAACTGGATCCAGACGATGGGGAAGTAGAGCCAAGTGTAAGGCACGGCGTTGGGGAGGGGCGCCTCGCCAGGAGGAGGCCCAGCTGCTGGAAACCTAGAGATGGCGACTGTCAAATATCAGACCGTCAGGGGGGTGCAAGGCCAGGGCGCGGACGTGGGCACCCCAGACCCACCCCAGCTGGGTGAGGCCATGCTTGGCTTACTGAGTTCTTCTTCATCAAGTCCAGTGGGCCCAGCGGTGCCAGCTCATGCCCTGGCTGCCTTGTCACCCTCAGCCCTGGACCAGGCTGGGCTGTATGGCAGGGAGAGGGAGGCCCTGGGCGGCAGGGTGGTGGCCCTGCGCCCCAGCTCGCGGGGAACACAGCTTCCCTTGGCAGCCAGAGCCAGGGCGGTTCGTGGCTGTGCTTTCCCAGCACGAGGTTTGAGCTCACAGAGCCTCCAGACTCCAAACAGATGTTTCTCCTATTCCCACCCTGGCAGTGGGGGGTGGGGTGGGGGGTGGAGGCTGCTCCAGGTTTTGCCTCCCTCCTCCCCAGAGCAAACAGCGGTGTGAAAAACTTGGCCCTGCCTCCCTGTGGCCTGCGCCTGCTGCCGCTGGGGAGGGGAGGGTGGTCTGCCGTCCCCCGAGAGGAGTTCTTTTCTGCTGACTCGAGGGGGCTGAGAGGGGCGCCCACAGCCGGCCTGTGTGGGGGGCTTGCTCAGAGTGTGGGAAGGTGCCTCCCCTCACGGGTCATCTGGGCGATTATCTCGCAGGTACACGGGGGAGAGGGCTGGGAGGGTGGGCCTGCCCGAGGCCTCTGGGAGGTCAGCAGCTTGGACCACCGACTTTCTGAGACAACAGGCTGGTTAGTAAAGCTGGAAAGAAAGCACAGGGACACCTGCCTGAGGATACTGGCCACCAGCGTCTTAGCAGATATTCCTTCGGTTTCCAGCAGAAGCCAAGCAGACACACGGGGCTGGTGGGAGCCATCAAGAGCCCTGCGGGCAGCAGGACAGAGCTGAGAAAGGCAACGTGGGAGCAGGCAGTATGGGAGAGAGGAGCTGGGCTCTGATGAAGGCACAGCCTTTGGAAGGGAAAGGAGGACACGGATGGGGCCCCCAAACATTGGGTCCACTTCACATCAAGAAGGCAATGCTTCCAGACCCTTCTGTGAGCAAGTGCCTTGAAGGCACAGAGATGCATCAGGAACCTGTGGAGTAAAAGTGGTTTGTGCTACCCCTCCCCCAATAATTTGTGGTCCCAAAGAATCCCCACGGCCTAATCTGTGCGAGTGATATGGTGTTGACAACAGAGTGACTCCCTTTGTTGGACAGGTGTGCAGGACTTGGAAGGCGGGAGGACCGCCCCTTTATGGGTGCTTGACCCTCTGCACCCGTCTCCCCACGTCTCCCATGTGCGGCCTGAGGCCCCTGCGCTCGCCCTGCAGAGAATGTGTCCTGCTCTCAGGTTACACAGGGCAGAAGGGGCTTCCAGGCTATTTGTAGGGCCCATGTGTCTCTGTCTAAAACCAGAGAAGAGGCTGTAGTCCGAGCCCTGGCATCTGGGTCTGCATTTAGAGAGGGCTTAAACAAATAAAAATAACCCCTCAAACCCTTCCTCCAGCTCCCTTCCAGGCCAACCCTGTGGCGGCCGGAGATCATGATAGACATGAATAGGAGAAACCCCCTAAAGCTTCTTTAACCCCAAACAAGGTGGGGCTGAGGAAATGCATTTAACGCTGGTAGCAGGCAGATGTTAACTGGGGGTCTTGCTGTGCAGTGACATTGGGAGTGATTTGTCCTTTCTCCTTTGGACTATTCCGTGTTGTTTGAATTATTTAAAACAAGCTTGTGTCATTTTTAAAGCAGGTTTTTTTTTTAATTTGAAAGGCAGCTGGGGCCTCTAATATTTTGAGACCTCAATATTTTTATAAAAGTTGATCATTCCTTTTCCTTTCCTCATCTCCTGTCTCATGAGCTGTGTCTGCAGCTTCTAGGAGTTTGGCATCACTGTCCTAGCTGCCTGGGGTGGGGTGGGGACCAGATGGAAGTGGCCCAGCCCCCTGGCTGTTTCTGGGGAAGCCGGCACCTTGCCCAGGGCTTCCTGTTTGGGTAGTAAGGGAGAGGCCGGGGGAAGGCCTTAGCGCCCATCCTGACCACCACCCTGATCTGGAAGACTTGCTGCCTGGGCGGGGGCAGGGCTGTCGTTCCTCTGAGGGTCAGTGCAGCTTCTAGAATGAAGAAGGGGGTTGGCTCGCTCTCCCTGGGTGGGCTGGACACACCTGGAATGTGCCAGCAATTGTGGTCTCCCCGCCATAAAGAGGGCGAGAAAGAAACTAGAACCGGCTCAGGGGAGAGGGTCCCAGGTACGCTTTGGACGCACAATGAAGGAACCAGAGATAGTTCGTTTCGGGGAGAAACGTGGATATGAAGATTCTGTTCCATCATGTGAAAGGCTCTTTTGGGGGAAAAAATTAGACTGAGAATAGCCTTGTGGGACCAATGGGTAGAAAGTACCAGGAGGCAGAATAGCAGAAGAAAGGTAAAGGAAAACTTTCTCATGGCCAGAGCCATCTGCGGAAGGATTTGAACTGTCCTTGGAGGAAGTTAAGATCTCTTCCCTGGAGCCACAGAGATGGTTAGTGCTTCTGATGGGGGTGTTCAGAGGGTGCGATTACAGTTCTTTCAAGACTGAGGTTCAGGTTTCTGATGTTGCTGTCACTTAACGTGGAGGACCGCTGCGGCCACTGCTGTTGGTGATAACCTGGCACGTGCAGGGCCTGCCCACATACACCTGGGATTTTCTGACAGGAGCCCTGGGAGGGAGGGAGGGAGGGGAGGTGCTCTTCCTGTGCTGCAGGTGAGGAGGAGGCACCAGATGCTAAGTGATAGCTCAGGAAGGTGAACTCAGGACCCCTGCCTCTCAGAAAAAATCAGATTTTCAATCCTTGACCATTGACAGAGCACCTTTGCATGTGTATCCTCATCAGAGTGCCAACTTTCCTGACTCTGAGCCCTGCCCTGGCCCATCCTGGGGAGCGAGGGTGCCCACTCATTGGGCCAAACCCCCTCGCCACCCCACAAAGCTGCTGGATTCCCTTATAGGCCACCTGCTCCAAACCGAGGGGGAGGCGGCGATGGGATCAGGGACAGATGTCTCCATTTCGCCCTGACATTTGGTTTCTGATAGGAGGCCTGGCGTGGGGCCAGCACTGCAGAGCAGGGCCCCGTGCTAGTGTATGGTCCTTGTCTTGGGGGCACACAGCCCCTGGAGCCGGTGGGGACTGGTAGAAAGTGCTGCGTGAATCACGCAAACTGGCTCATGAGCTCTAGGGTACAAGGCACACGAACCCCCAGCAAGCCCGCTGGGAGGGGGAGAGGAGATGGGAATCTGATTTTCTGCTGAGGAAATGGTATGGAGAGGTGAAGCGAATGGCAGAGCTAAGATCTGAACCTGGTTATTTCTATTTCAAATTCAGGCCTCTTTTCCCTGATGCTCCACTCTGCTTCTTAAAATGAGGCATGATAATAAAAACAGCAACAATAATAATCTGTAACGTTGATTGGGCTGTTCCTGTGTGCTGTTCCATCTGGTTGGCATGGATTAGCTCATTAGCCCTCCCACCACCCTGTAGAGTGGCTGTTATTCCAGGTGGGAAAACTGAGGCCTAGAGAAATGAAGCGTCTTGTCCAAAGTCATAGCTAGTAAGGATGGTGCTGGGATGTGAACCCTGGCAGTCACGCACTTATCCACGTGGGAGAAAGACACTGGGGCCCCCGAAATACAGAAGTGCACACAGCGGTTGAAGGACACCGAGGATTGGACCAAATGTCATCATTTTTGCCCTTTGGGTTCTGCCTGATTACGTCAGGCCAGCCACATCTGGTGCCCGGGGGAGCATCACTCGGCGTTCCCGAGGACGCTGCTGTTATTTCAGGACTCAGCACTGAGATGTGAGGTGCCTTGACTGTGGGTGCTCATCTTCCCGCTTCCACGAGACTTGAAGCCCCTCCCGGCTGGGAACGGCGGGGAATAGCTTTCTTTCCAGCCCAGGGAAAGCCCCCTGTTTCCACACGCATCTACGCCAGCGTGCCAAAAGTTAAACCAGTGTTTCCCAGAGTGAGGCACGGGGCCCTGTGTGGGGGGGCACAAGATGATTTTAGGCAATTTTTTAATCTTTAAGTTGTGATCTATCAGCAGATAGTAATATCACTTTAGTGGCTCGTGACTAACATTAAAAAAAAAAGAGGTGGGAAAATAAAGATGAAATATTATAGAGAAAATATCAGTAGTAGAAAGGGTCAGTATTTTTGTGAAACTTTATTTCCACTTCTTATGTGAATCGTGATGAAAAATCAGTGGGCCATGGTAAAAAAAAGTTTATAAACACTAATTTAGGAGGCATATAGGTCAATTTATTTTTTACTTTATTGATTTTACGTTTACTTTTATGGTTCATGCTGATTTTCCATATAGTGCTGATACACATTGAATTTTTTTAGTGAAATTTAATTTTGGAATTAAATTTTTCTTTTTTTGTTGAGGAAGATTAGCCCTGAGCTAACATCTGTGCCAACTTTCTTCTATTTTTTTGTATGTGGGACACTGCTACAGCATGGCTGGCGAGTAGAGTAGGTCTGTGCCTAGGATCCGAACCCACGAATCCAGGCTGCCAAAGCAGAACTTAAAGCACTTGGCCACAGGGCCGGGCCCTGGAATTGAATTTTTATTAATAAAAATTGGCCTAAGTTGGTAATTTTTTTTAGTGGAATTTAGTTTAGTAAAATTTAATTTCACTGAAAATTGAAATAAAGTCGGTCTGTTTAAATCAAAATATGAGTTGTACAGGTGGTTCCTGGATGTGGGAGTTTGGGAAACGCTGCGTTAGACGGAGTGACTCCCAAGGTTCCCCTGGGGTTGTCTGGATTCCCTTCTGGGGGCTCTTGGGGACCTCTGACTCCAGGCTGAGTTCTGTGCTCGGGCAGTGATGACAGCCGTGCTGCGGGGCTGGCTGATAGCCGGGACGGCGTTCTGACAGGCCTTCTGTGTTTCAGGAATCTGGCCAACTGCGAGCGCCTCATCGAGGTGGAGGATATGATGGTGATGGGCCGCAAGCCGGACCCCATGTGCGTCTTCACCTATGTCCAGTCGCTGTACAACCACCTGCGTCGCTTTGAGTGAGCCCTTGGGCCTGAAGAGCCAAAGAGCAACCCCAAGAGGCGGCTGTGGGGCCGCTGTGTCCCGCGTCAGGATGACCCCCGAGAAGAGATGCATTTTGGTGTGAGAGCGCTGTTTGTTCTGTGGTGTGTGGCTGCGCTCCGGCCTGCCCGGCCCTGTGACTGATGAGAAGTACCACTGAGCTGCGCTCCGACCTGTCACAGCCCAGGGCTCGAAGGAACAGGAAAAATTACCAGAGAGAGAGAGAGAAATTGGTGCTAAGTAATTATCTTCCTTAAAAAAGTGCTTGTCTGTAGATGCTGGAATGCTAAATCACAATTTTCCCTCTGGTGAATTCGATACGTTGGCTTTACAGGGTTACGTTGATTACTAAGTGTTTTTTATCAAAATACCCAGAGTTTTTTACTTCCTCACACTATTGTGGGTTCCTTTCCTCCCTCCCTCTGGGCCACTGCCAGGAAACAGACCGCTTAATCAGCGGCTTGACAAAGACCGAAGTCTTGGGAAGAAACAGTTTAATCACTCCAGGTCCCGAGCAACAGATGACCTTCAAGTCACCTCGGCTCTCTGGGGAGATGGGAAGGCACTCGCCTGGTCCCAAAACACTCCTGTCCTTCCCGGGAGGCCCCACAAGTGTTTAGCTAAGAATAGGCTCTCGTGAAGTTAACACTTTTGGGGACGGACAGGCTCTTTGTGCAGAGAGGTAGTTTTTATTCACAGCTTTTTTAGGGGATTTGCTGCAGATATTTATAAAAAGTAACTCCATCTGTACTGTTGACCATTTGTACATAAAAAGATGTGTTGACCTTCGCTTGGGATTTGTTATTTCTGTTTGGGAGATGTGGGGCCTGTGAATAACAGATTTGGCACACATTCCAAATGAAAATCATCTTAAATCCCCCCTTAACTGTTTCTGTACCTAAATCACTGAGCAGGAAATTGAAAATCACATTTGTTCTCTCTGCGTTTGCCTGTCAGTCACCCATCTGTGTGTTGCGCGGGGCACTGAACTGAAGGTCCCCCCTTGCGGATCTGTCCCATGGATGTTGACTGCCGTATCTATGATAAACAGTGGCCCACGACGGCAGGTTCTGGGGTGGTCCCGCACGTGAAGGAAGCCCATGGAGGAGCACTGGTTTATTTTCACAGCTGTTTGGTGGTAGGCTTTTAATAGAATATTTTTAGATTCTATAAAGCCACAGCCTTTAGCTTATCCTTATTCAAGAACCATTTTCTAATTGGGTTGGATTTTAGCCCTAAACTTCTCGAACTTCCCTTTAAGGAGCAAATATGTGTCTTCAGCTCATGCAGTGGGCTCTAAACACCAGTGCCTGTGTGCCTTCTTGGAGTCACATGTGTGTCCCTTGTGTGTTGAGGGGACAGAGCTCTTTGGGGGTGACAGGAGGAACGTGGCAGAGCTTGACAGGTGGGTGAGCAGTAGCCTCGGCAGATTTGGTGTTCAGACCGCAGTCTTGTTTGATCCTTTGGATTCTCCCCCAGTGGGAACCATTCCTTTCCAGCTCTCTTGTCCCTTGGAGGCTCGGGAAGGTGAGCCCTATTCTTAGCAAAGACACAGCACCTGGTCTTTTTTCATACTGAAGCTTAGGGTTTCAAACCTAAAGCCAATTTGGAAACACAAGGGCTCTATAAAAAGCAGCCTATATGTTACTGAGTCCACGCAAATGTTAAATGGAGCTTTCCTGAATTGCAGACGGCCTCGCGCCTCTGCACATAAAACAGCAGATCCTGCCGGAATAAGGAACAATTCTCTTAAACTTGAGGAGTGGTGTCCCTCATGTCTCACATTCAGAATAATACAGACTAGATATTTTTAAAGGAGGTTCTATGATGTTCTTGTCTGTGGTCTTTGGGGAGCGGGGAAATGAGGGCTCATAAGACTTAATGGGTTTTAAACTCAATCACCTCTAGGACAAAGCCTGAGGGTTCCAATGCATGAGGAAAAAAATACAAGGAGACCTCACAACCTCAAGACATTTGGAAACTCCCATTTTAGATCAGAGTGCCATCAAAGTTCCCATTTGTGAAATCCGATTTCAAGTTGCCTTCTCCCATGGTACAAAAGGTTTCACATCTTTTTTTTCCCTCTCCTGAGAGAATTATTTCTCAGAGCTGCTTGTAAGATTCTGCTTTTCCAGATCGATTCCTTCACCTGGATTTTGTTAAAACTTATTAAATTTGACCAAATTGGCTTGTGTGTTTCCCCAAAGTGAACGTTTCACCAGAGCCAAGATGGGTTTTAGCTTTTCTGACAGCTGATGGATATTTTTCAAAGCAAGTGAGAGCTTATGAGTACTCTCTGAATATGATATAGCACACGCTGGTTAGAGGAGAACGCACAGGCCAGGTGTTGGGGGAACAGTTTGTTAAAGCCAATGAATTTCGCAAATGTGTTAGATGACGAAAAGTTCTCAGCTTTCCCAGTTGCAGTGGTCAGTGCTCTGTAACTGGAGGAGTCCAGTAGGAGAGAATATTTTATTTTCTGCCTTACTGGGTCTATATGACTCCAGGCAAGTGAATGGCAGAGTCAAGATGCCGATTCAGCAGTCAGTTTTGGGTGGGACATCTCAATCCAGCAGAACCAACTCTGGATGGGGTTTCTCAAACTGGTGACAGGTGACCAACTCGTTCCGATCAATTGATTATGCCTGTTGAGATGGCCAACTTGATTCCTCCCTCCCTCTCCTGGCTGTGCTCTCACATCTACGCGATCGGTGGTCATCAGCTTCTGCTGAATGATAAATGGACTGGTACGATTATTATCCATCTTATCTCTCTCGCTCTTGAGATTTGGTTTGGGCTTGCTCCTAGAGCCTCTGATCTCTTATCTCGTGGTTCTCAGACTTACTTTGACATCAAACAGCCTTCATTTTCCTTTGAAAGAGCACGTTAAAAATGCCTGGGCCTGCCTTCTCCCTAGAAAGCACCAAACAGGAAAAAACACCCAGGAAGGATGGGGCCGAGAATGCTGCACTCTCCGGGGTATCCGGGCAGCCTCTGCTGGAGGGAGACAGTCCGACCGAGTGCAGTAAAGAGCTGCGGGGGATCCGAATCAGTAGGGCAGGCGGTCTGGTTGGCGGCATCAGACAGATGCCACACAGCGTTTAGGCGCATCCTGACTCCCCACCCTCATGCCTTGAGTTGATCCAGTGCTGTCATGTAGGCAGGGGTCAAATCTATATTTTTTACAAACCCAGTTTTTAATCACTCACAGTTATAAGTGTTCTTCGCATGTTTGGCGTCTCAGTGGCATTTGCGCTGCTGGGCCCCTCTTCCTGGTGTCCGTGACCCCACCCACAGTCTCCAGGTTCCCCCACCTTCTCTGGTGCATCATGGCCTCCTTTTCCTCTATCCATCGGCCCTCTGTGCTGTCTGTCTCACACTCTGTGCTCCATCTTCTACATCAGGGGTTCATAACCCAGGGCCGGTTTGGGCTTTGGGAGTCTGTGGATGTCCAGATTGAGTGTTTTACCTCCCTTTTCCCTCTCAAACTGGTTCCTTCTCCAGAGTTTGCTGCCTCCGCAAACGGCAGCCTGATCACCACCCGTTGTCCATGCTAGAGACCTGGGCGTCCCGTTACACCTAGCATTGTGGACCTACTGCGAAAGCAATTCACTTGCTTCCTTTCATGCAGTGTGAACTAGGCATTTGGAGCACCCTTGCCAGTGACGGCTCAAGATTTCTCTTCTACTGAGTGTTCTGAAGCATCAGAGCTACTAATTTTCCCCAAGGTTTTATTTTGAAAAGTCTCAAATTTACAGAAGAGTTGGAAGAAGAGATGAACATGTGTAATCCTTTGTTTTGACTGTGAACATTCTGCCATGTTTGTGTTCCGTCTCTGTTTTTCTGAGCCATTTGGAAGTAAGGTACAGACATCGTGGCACTCACACCTAAATACTTCAGCAGATATCTCTCAAGAATAAGAACATTCTCCTACATAAGCACGGTATGTTGGCATACCTAAGAAATCAAACATTTATTCACCTAATGTACAGTCTATATTTAAAGTTTCTCTAATTGTTCCCATATGCCTTTTATGGCTGTTAAACAAATTTTAAAAGCCCAGGATCCAATCAAAGTTTACACATTGCATTTGGTTGTTATGTCTCTTTAATCTCTTTTAATCTGGAACAGTCCCTCCACTTTTTGTTTACTGTCTATTTTTCCCTGGAATCTTTTGAAGAGCCCGGGCCGGTTGCCTCACAGACTGTCCCCCAGCCTGCTGTTGTCTGTTTCCTCCCGAATAGATTCAGGTGAAATGTGTTTGGCACGATGGCTAGTTCCGTGGCATCCCATCAGGAAGGCGTGGGTGGGTTTGTCCACCATTGGCCCTGGGAGGACTGACTGTGTGGTGAGGGTGTCCATCAACCTCTCCAGGGCACTCTTTCCCCATAATGAGTTAGAAATCTGGGGGTGATACTCTTTAAGACCATGGGAGTATCCTGTTCCCCAGCATCTTTAGGATTATCAATTGATTTTTGCCTAAATCTGTAATTATATCGAAGGTTGAAAACAGTGATTTTTAAATCCCATCATTTCTTCTATATTTACTAGTTGGCATTCGTTTGTAGAGAAGGTCTTTCCCTTTTCCTACCTCGTTTTTTGAGTATTACTATGGACTCATGAATTCTCTTTTTTCTAATTCAATGTGTTGTAATCCCTTACTGTCATTATTCTTTTGATGCTCAAATTGTCCAAAGTCTGTCCAGTGTGAGAAGACAGCCCTTGTGTCCTTTTGACAAGCCCCCATCAGCCTTTAGGGCCTTCCTTGTTTTCAGGCACAAGATGTTCCAGGCTGACCTTTAATTTTCTTTATCTCAACCCTGGAATCAGCTGTTTCTTCAAGATATTCTGGTCTCTTTTAGTGAGGAATCGTGTTTATTAATCAAAATCCGGGAACTAGCTGGGTTCATTGCTATTGGGTGTCATGCTTCTAGGCCCTTTCAATGAACACAGCTAAGAAACTTTATGTATAGATGCCTCCAAGTTTATCAATACCTCCAATTTAAATCCAAGACCATAGGACTCATCTGTACATTCTTCTATCTCATATTTACATTTATTTTTCTCCAACAGTCCTGATTCCCAACAATTTCAATATATTGACAGACTACTTCTACAATATGCAGACAGCAGTTTCATAATTTTTAAACTGATGCCACTGCCAAGAACAAACTTCCTGAGTGAAGTTCAGGATTCCTCGGCAGCCCTTCTTCCCCCCTAGAATACATCCTCTTAGGATGCACAGAACACTGGACACAAATGTTACTTGTATTGTTTTTTTCTTTTTAAAGTCACGTTATGAATTTGGTATACAGTTAGGTTCATTTGTTCCTGTTTGTATTCGATTGAGGGTTTGTTTCCATTATTTTTTCATTTTTTGAATGTATAAATTCTTTACCTAATTCAGAAATTAAAACCATATAAAAGGAATTCTCCCATTCATGTCCACTCTTGCTCACCCCTTTAGTCTCTGGTTTATCCTCCCTGTGTGTTTTTCTTTTCTTCTTTTCTTCCCTCCCTCCCTCCTTGCCTCCCTCCCTTTGTCCCACAACAGTAAGCAAATACATATCTATGTTTCTATTTTCCTTTCTTCCTTACACAAAAGATAGCCTAGCACATACTCTCTATGTACCTTGCTTTTTATTTTCATTAACAAGTGAAACCGTTTCATAGAGATGCTCCTCATCCATATAAAGTGGCCGCATGGTCCTCGGCTGTGCGGAGAGTTCTTGGTTTAGTCTACCAGTCTCCTGCGTATGGGCACCTACGCAGCATTTTTTTTCAATGTTT